AGCATTAAACGGTACCAGTTTACTGGCCGTGACATGCCCCTGCAAAAATCAAGCGGGGTGGCCATTTTGGTGTCCTTACAGGAATGTGTTTTTTTTTTTTGGCCTACAACCGTGCACAGGGAGACCAACTCTGATAAACCACAGGTCAAAATTAGGTTTGCGTTCCACTTCGTCGAACGCAAATATTGTCTCCCGTTTTGCTGCCATAAACAAGGCTGATTTCAATGGCTCTATGCACTACTTCTTTGTCTGTTGTTTTTTTTTAATCCACCAACGAATGCTTAGCGTTAGTACATTCTTTTGCTCGCCTTTTATGCTGAGTTATCCTTAAATTCGGGTCATGCAATTAGTCGCATATTGATAACATCCAGTTAGCCCTATTTATGAATATCGTTTTTTGTTGTTCACAGGACTTGAGATTACGGGAGTCACAATTGGAGCTGTCGTTGTTAGCTGCATTTTAGGAATCAGTATATATATTTGTTAATATTGTAAAACTCGTGGATGTAAATCTGCACCTTCTGGTGAAATCTGCACCATCTCGTAGATGTAAATCTGCACCTTCTGGTGAAAGTAAATCTGCACCATCTCGTAGATGTAAATCTGCAGCATCGTGGGACACATCTTTCTCTCAACGTGGTCAGCTGAAGATGACCCAATGCGAACAACCACCAAATGTTTCTTATGTTTAGAAACACGAGTTTAGAGAATGAGAAATGCCGTGTGAACACGAGCTGACAGGCAAGTGTTTCCACGGCTTTTTCGACTTCTCTCAAACTTCTACTCGCATTTCTATATCTCGATTGAAACACAGAACAGTTGTTTTCTATTTCTAGTTCTGTGTTTCTATCAAGCTATAGAAACATAATTTTTAACCAGTCGGCGTGCATATTTTTTGGGGGATGTTTCCTAATGGTATTTAATGTGCATTCATTTAGTAAATGTTTCAAGTGGATCAGANAGCATCAATCAAGGTGACACTATGGGAAGATGCAATAAATGCCGTCAGGAGTGGAAAAACATACATCTTCGCTAACCTCAAAGTGAGAGTATTCGACGATGTCAAATTTCTCAATACAAATCCCTCGACAACTATTGTGGAGACAGATGATATGTTTAAAGACATAAACCTTGTACCAGACGAACTGAATGACACTATTGCGGCTGAAGGTCGTTGTGTTGGCTTTATTCTAAAAATCGCCAAATCATGCATTGTATGCAACAATACTTGATATGATGAAAATACCAAGAACAACAAAATCACCTGTACTTCATGCTCCACTACTATGCTATCATCAGAATGCCCTTCCAAACAATTGTGTGTACCCTGACAATGAAGTTGGCTGATGGTACACTTCAGGCCTACACATGTTTTAATAATGCACTACAAATTAAAGTTTTCTTGCATCTTTTGAGAAGAGCACTAGTTTGGACGATATCACAAAAGACCAAATAGAAGATTTGTTCCTAAATGCTGGCACAGTACAGATGGTTGTAAATAATTCTATGCATGTCGTAGATCAGTTTCTTCCAAAAGCCATGTAGAATGACTTTCCTAATACAAACTCTTTCACAGCTATTCTTGAGATGAAAGATTTGTTTAAAGACATCAACCTCATTTATCAAAGGAATTGAATGACACTCTTGCTGAAGGCCGTTGTGTTGACTTTATTTTTGAAAATTACCAAATCATGCGTTGTATGCAACAATAACTATATGATGAAAATGCTAAAGCCTTGTGCAAACGTACTCGACTTTGTAGACTATACAACAGTATACAACATCAAACTTGCGTTTGCACACCATTCCAGGTGCCATATTATACACAACTCAACAAGTCTGATGCTGTATAGTGAAGTTTGACTCTGGTCAAAGTGGGGGTCCGCGGACCGGGGATCAGTGTTTTCGGGTTACCCCAAATTAACTCGATACCAGAGTTAAGAGTTTTCTTACATAACTTTACAGAACAAATCCAAAAGCTTACGCGTACAACTAGCGCTAGCAGATGTTATTCATTCACAGCGCGAAATTGAAACCTTGTTTTCAACCCTGAAAAACTCACCTTTTCCATTAGCTCACTGCATAAAACTACATACAAGAGCCCTGGTTCTTATTCCCTGCCTTATTCTCTGCCATCGCTGTGAAAAATCCGAAAGAGAATCTCGCAACTCTCACCATTTGATCACGCAACGTGACAACATCCACGCGAGAACCCACGAAACGAGCGTGGATCCGTGCGGATATATGTCGTCAGGGTGGTGCAATTTGCGCGGATCCCAAGACTTCCGGTCTCCGCTCCGTTCCCGATTATGGCTCCTGCTCGAATTCCAACTCGAACTTTTACTCGAAGTCCAACTCAAACTCAAACTCGAACTCGAACTCGAATCCAAAGTTGATGGTTTGGGATTTCCCGTTACATTGCAAATTTCAAAGGGCCTGAATTGCAATTTTCTCGAATTTTTATCGGCGTTCATGCAAAATTGATCCACGAAAATGAAACTGTTAACCCAAAATTTTATTGACTGAACTGTCTTTGGCTAGCAAATCAGACGATTTGAAGCACTACCGGTCAGCTTTTTTCCACTCTGAATTTGCATAATTTTTGAGTTTTGTTTAAAGTAGGAAAGAGTGTCTACTTAAAGGGGGGCTCAATTCGCGCGAAAAACACAAAAAATGAAAATAATCACCTTGTCTTGATTAAGGAAGAATCAATGTATACATTTAAAGTTAAGGACGTTTCACAGCGATGTAAACGTCTGTGTAGCAAGAAGCTCAAAAGTGTAAAAATTTCGGATTAACACGGTGTGAAATCCGAGCTTTCGGTACGATGACCGTTTTTCGTGAATTTCTGCCGTTATAATGGATATTTAAAAAAACTAACTTGATTTCTCTTAGTTACTTACCTACAATCGTGGACAAAAGTCCTTGGGACACTTATGTATAATTTAACGAATTATCTGTGTTTTGCTACTGAAGTTTAAAAGAAGGGCCGCTTTCCTTTTAAAAAACGCGTCACTGTTCCCCCTCTCCACCCAGTACAACGTTGAAAATCAGAAGAAATTGCAGGTAGTAGTTTTTAACATTGTATAGGGGGTGGGGGGTGAGGTTAGGCAGGTGAAGTAGTATTCGCGTCTGGCGTATGCGCAAAAGCACCAAAAGTGCAAATGTGTCCCAAAACTTTTGTCCATGATTGTAGGCCTTCAAACTGGCAAAGCATGAGCGAAATCGAGTTTTCGACCGTGGCCACATTTTTAGAATTTTCTTTGATTTTTATTGACATTCACTCTTAATTTTGGTAACTGAGGATTTTTATTTCGTATTGTACTAAACGACCTAAAACGACAGAAACTACAACAAATGATTATCTAAACTCAAAAGATAGAAACCACCACAAATGACTCTCTTAAATCGAAAGATAGAAACTACAACAGATGACTCTCTTAAATCAAAAAATAGAAATTACAACAAATGACTCTCTTAAATCAAAAGAAAGAAACTACAGCAAATGACTCTCTTAAATCAAAAGATAGAAACTACAACAAATGACTCTCTTAAATCAAAAAATAGAAACTACAACAAATGACTCTCTTAAATCAAAAGACAGAAATTGCAACAAATGGCTCTCTTAAATCAAAAGATAGAAACTACAACAAATGACTCTCTTAAATCAGAAGATAGAAACTACAACAAATGACTCTCTTAAATCAAAAGATAGAAATTGCAACAAATGACTGTCTTAAATCAAAAGATAGGCACTACAACAAATGACTCTCTTAAATCAAAAGATAGAAATTATAACAAATGACTCTCTTAAATCAAAAGACAGAAACTACAACAAATGGCTCTCTTAAATCAAAAGATAGGCACTATAATAAATGACTCCCTTAAATCAAAAGATTGGACAACAACAACTGCATCCCGTAACTCATGATCAGCAGGAAGGAGTACAACAGATGCCCTGGTAATTGTAACGGTGGACAATTAAGTTGCAGTAGTAATCAAAACTGAAGCCGCTCCTGTGAGCGCACCTAGCGTAGTAATAGCAGGTAGTCGTTTGGTATTTGCAGAGTAACTTAATTTGGGAAGGTTGATATCTGGCTAAGCAATCGTTCATTATTTTCGCCTCTGAACTGCTGCACCCTTTCCAGTCCGACCAATAATGGCTTCGCTTCCTACGTCCATGACCTGAACCAAAAATTAAGAGGATATAAACTGCTTTAGTAAGTCAAAATTACATTAAATTACAACACTGTTTTAAACTGACCTCATTAGACTTTGCCTGGCTATAATTTAACTGCACTTTAAGAATGCTAATTTTTGTTGATTTATCACGCGCTTAAAATAGCGGAGAGGGCCGACGACTAAAATTAGGTTATCAGAATGCTTTATTATTAGAATGTTTTATTGAAAGTCCTATACTTTCGAAGTATTGGACCAGGTAGAGTTTCCACAGATCTTTTTCGATCACAAGTCGTGCAATAAACCTCTTATAACCCTACTAGGGGTATGAGCTTGATTAATATCTACCCCCCCCCCAACTTAGTTTTCAGAGATACTATAAAGAAATGCTTTGTCCCCTTTCGCGCGGCATATATGCATTTTCTATGCTATAATCGTACTTTAACCGCACTTTAGCATTCTCCTTTCCTGTCTTAAAACATCCATATTAAGTCCGCATTGACTTGTGCGGTTCATGACCATGCTTCCCGACTATAACCTAGCGTTACCTTATATTGTCGCTCGCTGTCCTCCACACCCTCGCCCGCTCGCATCCAGTTCTGTCGAGACGATCTCGACGATCGACTAACAGTAGAGCTTTTTTTTTAAGAGCGTGAGCAGACGAAACGCAGCGAATTACTCAATCAGATTAGCTCTGACAGAAGGCGGAAATTTCGATTTCGATCATCTAAGCCTATACATAAGGTAAGCGTGGCATAAAAACAGCTGAAATTGACTGAGCTTTTTCTGTCATTCAGTATGACATCATACCCATTGCGTCCTCAGGTTTTCTTTCACCAAGTATGAGACCTTGGTAACAGGCTACCCTTTATTGTCCCTAGAAGTCATTTGTTGTGACCAGTTCACACTCTTTGCATTATAATTGGCATGTTTAATCGAAAAAATGAAAGGTCTGTGATAATCGTTATCAATTGTTAGCATTTAATCGATAATTTTGGTATTAAATATTGATGGACACTCAATGGTATGTGTTTTAGTTAGAATTGTAGGGACCTTATAATTGTTATCAATTACTATTAATTGTCATATACTTTGTCATTTATGAAGAAAAATAGCACAGATAGCGCGGGCATAGAGTGGATAAAATGATCGCTGTACCGGCGCCATGTTTTTGCTCTGTAAACCGCTGAATCTCGATGAATCGCTCTAGCAAGAGCGCGCGCAAAAACTGAGTTCGGCCACCTGAAACATAAAGAGCCGGGCTTTGAGTTCGTTCAATATTGTGGCTGCCAAAGGCTTTATTCAGCTATTTAAGAATCCTTCACCCTACTCTAAAACGGTAATTGACTTCTCGGCGATTATCCCTGAGGGGTCACCCCAGGGAACCTGACTGACTGTTGTTCCCGTTCAAAGATCGTTTTAAACTTGACAAACGTTCGCAGTTGTATTGTAACACCCTGATCATAATTCGGACATAAGAAATATAGTTTACCGAACCCGCTGTTGAGTTGTAAGCACTAAAACTAAAATCAATGGTGTTTTAACGGGCTATACAGTTGCTATTGTAACCTGTTACGTCAGGAATAATTATATATAAAAGTGTTACTTTAAAGGATTGCTCGTCGTTTATAGACCTTTATAAAACGGCTATACTTGCACTGTTGCTCAGCGCATGCGGTGTTGTTCTGTATCTCATACGGGCAATTTAAGAGAGTAAAAGTCGTTTACTTACCCTGTTCCTGGACCATGGTTGTGTTCATGGAGTCTAGCGAGATTTCTTCAACCCTGGTGATTGGAAAATTGCCACAGAAATCCAGAATCCTCTGAGGTAAGGCCAAGCGGTCTGCAAAACCTAGCACTTGCAACACAGTTCTCCCAATTTCCACTTTATCAGGTAAGGACTGCCTGGACGCCTGGAGTATGATACAAAGAGAAATTACATAAAATACAACTTTTTGATTAATAATGATGTTTTTTTGAGATTTTTGTGACAGGTATTTAAAAAAACCTACAATCCAGATCATGCACATTTTTAAAGGTACACGTAATCAGGTTTTAGAATTGCCTTATTCGCAGCAGTAATAAGTCGTGTTTCTTTTGTTAATGATATGTGGGTCGATTGCAACGATCAGGAACGTTTACATCAAAATTTGTATATCTTGAATAAATTTTTCCTATGGGTCGTCTAATCTTCAATTATATTCGATTTCTTTCTATATATTCAAAACATCTTTTGATTTCTCTCTCAGAAATTTTCGTAAGTCTTTGCTAATCTCTGATAATGTTCCGAAAATGCTTACACACATGACTTTTTCATTAAAAAATAAAGAAGCCTAAGCTGTGTATTACACTGTGATAAAACACGACGGGCATTTGAGAACACAAGGGAAATGTAGAAAACACGAACCGCAGGCGAGTGTTTTCTACAGTTCTCGAATGTTTTCAAATGTCCGGAGTGTTTTATCACAGTGTAATACACGGCTTAAGCTTCTTCATTTGCTCTATGATATAGACTTTAGGTGAAAAACAATAAAACACGCTTTTTCTATGTTATATACCCTGATAAAACATGGATTTTTGACTAATCAGAGCGCGCGCGCACTCTCAACACATAAAGTGGACTATACGGTAAGGCTCAGCCCGAAAGGGGTGTCTCTCATAGTACGGTAGGCTTTCACTGCAATTAATTATTTCGAGGAGTTATTCAATCCAGGGGCACAGATAAAGGATTCAGTATATCTATTGTTAGTACGTGAAAGGAGCTCTACACCATTTTCTATGGAACTTGTATGGAACGTATATGCTTTTCTGTCAAAGTTGATATAAAGGAAGCAGGTTTCAACCTAGGAGAGGAACGTCCCTGAGGGTCAAAGTTTATCAAAGCTAGCGCTCTGGCTTTATTATCACTTTTTGGCAATAAATTACCTCTTCTTAATAGCGACTGAAAAGTTTAATTGCTCATCCCGACCCTGTGAATACAAACTCACCTGATCCATGTCGCGCCTCAATTTTTCTGGTGAAGGAAAAGATGAATCCAACTTTGACACGTAGCAATCTTTAGTTGATGGAACACGACGAACTGTCAAACCCTATGCGTGAAGAGCGGGGTTAGTTATTTGCTAAGAAGGCTGAATTTTAGCTCGTTAACATTAAATACGGCCCGTTAGCTTCGAAAAAACAAACAATACCCCAGTGATAATGAACAGTGACGAGATAACTCTTTGAACAGACGTTTTACAAAAAGAGGAAAATTTCCAGTTTTGTGATCAGAGTGTTTTTTAAAATTTTTTAAGTTTTTAAAAGAACAAGANAGAAACACGAGTTTAGAGAATGAGAAATGCCGTGTGAACACGAGCTGACAGGCAAGTGTTTCCACGGCTTTTTCGACTTCTCTCAAACTTCTACTCGCATTTCTATATCTCGATTGAAACACAGAACAGTTGTTTTCTATTTCTAGTTCTGTGTTTCTATCAAGCTATAGAAACATAATTTTTAACCAGTCGGCGTGCATATTTTTTGGGGGATGTTTCCTAATGGTATTTAATGTGCATTCATTTAGTAAATGTTTCAAGTGGATCAGACTTAGCAATCTGTAGATCCAAGCAAACAGTCAGACTGGGTTGATTGGTGTTTATTTTATTATAGTTAAGTGTAAGTTATTGTTTTGTGACCTTTTTGTATCCAAGATAACTAAGTGGTAGGCGTCTATCTATCTTGTAAAACCTGTCACGACTGATCCCGTCGAGAGCAGCGTCTGGAGACAGGCTCAGCAATTCGAGCCATATTAAAAAGGAAATCGTTTAAGAAGGTATTTCATAGTTTCACGAGCCTTGATAACAGAACTGCATTGTACACATGGGCTTAAGGTTACTCCAAACCTTCACGGGTGTCCTCCTGAAAAAAAATTCGTATGCGCGCTGTTTTCAAGGAAACCCCCACAAACTATATATCAATAGAAAGGTTATGAAATGTAGAATTCAATAAAAGACATAAAATTACATTCTGTTTCGCCGATGCTTTCCTAAGGCGGCAGAAGCCGTTAACACCAAAACTACCGACTGCCATTCCAGCGAATTAATCGGGTATCAAGTACAATCATTGATGCAAAAACAAAGTGCAGTGTTAATCACAAAGCATCAATCTCTCAAAGAGTGTCAGCATTTTCTTTTATTTTTATTGGTTATCTTTTTATAGATCTGTCAAGTTCCACTATCGAAAAATTCGCGTAACGTGTTGCGTTGGAGGCTGCCATGAGAAAAGTATTTAAAATAAAAGAATTCGCTGACACGGTTTTCTTCCTTATCTATCAGTGCATGTTCTGGCCAAATTTCACAGAAAACCGTCGATTCTACATGCTCTATTAATTAGAGGGATTCCCTCGAAAAACGAGTGCGATTTTTCGCCTTCTAAACATCTATGCGCAACAGAGCGCGAAGAAGATAGGTGAGGTGAGGTGAAAGATCTATAATCATGTCACGCCTTCCCAGAGGGATATGTCAACTCAAAAAGTTGGCAGCCAATGAAATAACAGAACCCCTAGCGTTCACAGTATACAAACTATAGCTTTGCGGGAAAGCGATAGTGTTACAATCATGTTTTAGGCGCACACATTTTGTTTGATAGATGGGAAACGAATATTTGTCATCGCGGCCTGGAAAACAATGAAGCCAACACTCCACGAAATCACTCAGTCAGTAACACGACCTAAACCACTACGGTGACATAGAAAAAAAGGTACACAAACGAAACCAGGGAAGGTGTTTTTAATTTAAGGAATTATTTTGTTTTCCACAGTGAAAAATTTGAAGCTGAAAATGTGAAATTCGAAGCGAGCGAAGAACTTTGACATAACATTGTCACTATTAACAGTACAAATATTAACGCGAACCACATTCTGTTATCCTTGTGTGTTATCTTTCTGTTGAAGAAATGACAACTGCAAAACTAAATGTAAGCATTCCCGTTTGGATTTATTTCTACGTGGATAGCCATTCAAAAGTTGATGGCATTAATACATCGGCCAAAGCATCCCACGCGAAAGCCTTTAAGCTTCTTGATGAAGTCACAAAAACCAGATTTTGGATGTTATAAAAGGTTATAGATAAATAATTGAGCTTACAGCAAAGAGTAGAAAAAGAAACCCAGAAAAAATATATATATATTACCCTCGAGCCCTGGACCCTCGACATTGGACCCTCGACCCTCGACAAAAAGATAGACACAGTAATGCCAGTGCAAAACAGAAGGAAAGCGATGTGCAACAAACCAAAAAGAAACTGACGAGCAACTGCGAAAGCGTGATTCAAAGAAGGAATTCTTGACGGACATGAAATCTAAAATTGAAAGTACTTGATATAGGATCTCTGGATTAAGCCGTTTGCCACGAAAAGGTCGCTGGGTAGTCCATGCCTTTTGGGTATTATGACACCTTGACGGTTTATTAATTTTTATTTAAAAAATCTCTTCCCAATACCGTTTTAATATTGTATTTTCATTTTTTTCGAAAATGTTACCTTAAATTATAAACTTTAATTTGGTTGAAAAAAAGAAAAGTAGCCCACGAAGATTTGGAGTAACCTTACCTTGATGATGAAATTCTGCTGACCTAGACCATATATGAGGTGATTTCATACAAAGAATCAGAAAACTAAATTACCCAAAAGAACTGTACTGTACAAGTAATTACCAGACCATGATATAATAATTGATGATAATAACTTACATTATATTGTTCAGGTTGCATGAATATGTTATCATCTGCGCATTACAAAAGTGAGCTATAAAGCAATAATCTACTTGTTCAGAAGTAAAAAAGTACAATTATGTTAAATGAGATAAAACTACTATAAAGCTAGTGGTTTCCCATGACTAAAAAAGTAACTGTTTTCTTCTTTAGTCCAAATTTATCAACTCGTTTAAGTTTGAGCGTTTTTGAAAACTTTGAAAGGGTTAAGGTGGCTGAACACAGTTTTTGATACCTGTGTTTCATTCACCTTTTTCTCTGAAAAACCTTGATCTCTCGGTCGCCAAAAATGGCAGCGAGCAAGTTAACAACACAAACTTTGGCTTTTTGATGGTTAAGCTGACATATGTGCTGTTGCCATGACAACATGAATTAATATAAACAGGCCTTTAAAATCGGTTTTGTTTATTTGTAGAAAATCTAGTCATTAGATTTTCTTTATAA